GTTACTGAGTAGCTAAGTATCTAATTTAAGCAGTTTTGCTCAGAGATCAGACAAACAATTACTATGAGTTATTTTCTCCCTACTTGGAGCAATAGCACAGCAGGTAGGGCGTTTGCCTTGCACGCAGCCAACCTGGGTTCAATTCCTCCATTCCTCTCAGAGAGACCAGCAAGCTACCGAGAGTATCCCGCCCACATGGCAAAGCTTGACAAGCTACCCGTGGCATATTTGATATGCAAAAAACAGTAACAACAAGTCTCACAATGGAGACATTACTGGTGCCCGCTCAAGCAAATCGATGACCAACAGGACGACAGTGCTACAGTGCTACTTAAAAAAAAAAATCACAAGGCATCTAAAAAAAAGCGTATTCACATGCTACAAAACATATATAGAGGAAATTTTCTTAAAATGTTTTATCAAAATTTGGATAAACAGGCAGTCTCCTTTGTGATTCATAAAATAGTACTGAAAATATTGGGCTGGGAGATAGTTTAAAGGATTGGAGCACAATGGCATGCAGGAGTCCTGCACTAAATGGTTCCTGGGTTCACTACTGGGAGCACCCCTGCAAATATAATGGACTGGAAAGAGGCCCCAGCACTGTCGGATGTGGTCCCCCAAATAAGCAAAAACAGACAACTAAAAATATGTTTAAAAACAGAAACATACTATGAGAAGCACAATTCTCATAACCTTTAATTTCTGCACACACCTCTTCCCTAGAGCCCACATCATAACACATTCGTTACCTTTCCCTATACATCCCTTTCCCACAGACTTGCCCCTCCAACTCTTTGTGCTCTATCAATGCTCTAAGAAGGAAGAGAAAATAGCAGAGTCAATTCCTAATAAAAATGTTAAGATGCAATTTGATCTCATCGACCTAATCTTCCAGACTTAAAAAAACAAGACAAAAACAAACTAGTCTGAAGGATAATGTTTCCTGTATACTACTGTGGTTGAAACTTAGGTTTTATAGCAATCAGTGTGTGTGTGTGTGTGTGTGTGTGTGTGTGTGTGTGTGTGTGTGTGTGTGTGGCTGGTGATGGTGCTTGCATGCAAAACATGCCCATTAGATCCTTCTCCAGTCGTAGATAATCAAATTTTTGCTAGGTGTTCAGAAAGGGAAAATGTTCATACTGCAGCTTTCGTTCTATTTGCAAGGGTTGCTTTGTTGCCAAAATGCCTGTGCTGCTTGGAGGGTAGGGGAAAGAGAAGCCAGCAAGGACTCCAACCCCACCTTTTTCTTCCTTTCTTACGGAACCTTTTAAGAAACAGTGATAGGTTCTCTGCTGGAGAGCTTTTCTCCAGATGCCCAGCCCTAGCCTCTCCCCTATCCCCATAGATGCTATGTGTTTTCCCTGGAATGCTTAAGGTCTTAAGGTCTTTCCTTCAGACATGTAGCTTATCGTTAGTGGCAGTAATTCCTTTCCTGACTCTAGCAATTGAGGAGAATCCCAAAGTAAGAATGCTGTCTTTCAGAGAATTCAGTTTCATAATATGGAAGAAGAACCTATATTATCAACCAATCAACAAATAATAGTTTATTTTCTATGGTGGCTCTGGAGTTGTTAATTATTACAGAATCACAGTTATGTTGGCTTGTTTAAAGAGCTTTAGTTCTCTTTCTAGTCATAATTGAGTCCATTCGCATTCAAGTTTCTGTGGGAGGATTTTCAAAGGAAGCTAATCTGTAAAGTCTGGAACAGGAATGCCTTGTTTTTTCAAAAAAAGGAAGAAATGGAAAACTTGGCTATATGTGTGCTGTTTTATGTTAGCACTATAGTCAATGATGAATAACAAAGATGAATCATTACTTCTGATTACAAAATACAGAGATCACCTAACTGTGATTTCACCTTTTTTTATGAGTCTAGATGCAAAATTTTATAAAGGTATGTGCAAAAGGATCATTAAAGAAATGTTTGACAAAATAGTTAATTTATTGAAAAGTATGCTGACGCCCATTCTTGGAAGAGCAACATATGGGGATTTATTCTCTTTTCTGCTTGCTTTTGGACCACATTTGCACTATGGAGGGTAATTCCTGGCTTTTTGCTCAGGAGAACCATGCACGAGGTGACCAGGGACTGAACCAGGATTCCAGCATGCAAAGCATGTGCTTCAACCTTTGCATTCTCTTTCTAGCCCTCAGCGTGGGGACTCATTCTTACCTCAAAAGTAAGCAGTGGTGCAGTGTTAAATTAATTCTTTAACAATCAATTACGGTGCACTTTTTTGTCTATATTTCTTTACTTCTCATATACTGTGGTAAGGAATGAAATTACATTTCCCTTTTCTACTCTCTCAGTATCGGTATATGTTATTCCTATATTCACTCCTATCAAAAGCTGCTTTGAGGAAACAATCTGATGAATTAGGTATAAATGACTAATAAGGCTTAAAATATTACCTTTCCTGGGATTATGGCTTTGTGCTAGGGAAATAAACCTTTCAAGGAGATTAAACTCCAGTGGCAAAATTTCGGGTAAGTTGGAAGAGTTTTTTGGTTATAGGAAATTTTATTATCTGATAATCAACCAGATTAGTCCCTACTATAAGTTGGAAAAGAAAAAAAAAAGTAAGGATCAGGATAGGTTTCAAGGCTGGGGACTGATAGGGACCTACTTATTTTTGGGGTGTGGTGTGCAATAAGTTTACGTCTATTGTAACACATTTAAAGGAGTATAGCAAAGCTGGAATCTCAGAACCCTGCTGGTGTCCCGCTGGGTTTAGGACATACCCCATTCTGGGATGCTTTTAGAGAGCGACCCTTTGGATAGAGCTTAACCACAGAATTCTGGCCAGAACCAAACCAGCTTTGGATGATGGAGTAGGAAACCTTTATTGTGACGATTATACATTGGGGTTCATACAATGGCTAAGATTCATGTTAACATAAAATAGACAGCTAGCTTGGTATTTATTGACCCCAGGAGCCCTTTCCTAGCTTCCAGCTGGGCTTCCAGACTCCAGCATGGAACAAGGCTGAAACCTCACAGTTCCGCTAAAGAACTGTGTTTTAACCCCTGCACTGCTGGAGAAGGTAAAATGTGTCTATGCATAATAGAATCTCTGGAATATCTGGAGTTTTTTCAAGTGTTTGTCATTAGCATACAACTCACTTTGGTAAACAATTTGATGGACTTTATGAACTCTTTTCCTTGGAGGCAAGCCAAAAATCATCTGCAGCGCATCCAGCTCTTTATTCAAACGTGATAATAAATAATTATCTCTGGAACACAGACGGAAGAACTGAAGCAGTGTCTTCAGGGACTCAGAGACTAATTACCATCGCTGTTCGCGGTTAAGTAAAGCAGAGGCTGGGGGCGGGGAATGGTTTGCTCCCTATCTGCTACAGTCCATCTCGGGGTAAAACAAGGCCTTCTTGTTTGTTAAGATATTTAAAGCAGTAACTGCAAAAATTGTGCAATATTACGGTCGCGGTGTTTTATGTCATACGTGTTGATAGACTGTTTAAGAGTCTCTCTCCGCAATGACAGTCTCTCTCTCTTCGCAAACCCTGCCAGCCCGAATAATTAGGGCCAGCGCGAACCAACCACTGCACCACCGAAAGCGTCGGGGTTGGGAACGGTGTCGCATTCGGACCGTATCCAGATGTTTCCCCTAACAAAGCCACAATCTCCAGGCAATTCCCGGGCCGTATTTCCCCCCACTTCGATCCCCCCTCCCCCAGCCAGCGCCAGCTTTGTCTGCCCGCCGGTGCAAGGCTGAGACTTTGGAGAAGCCCAGCCGCGTCGCAGGGTGAGCGAGCGCGAAGCCAGCCAGGGGCCGGCGTGGGAACCTGCACCGAGCTCCGGCCGCCGTGGTTTCCTGCAAACTGAGCGTGCCGTGAGGGGAAGTTGGTGGGGCGATGCAGTCGAGATACCCGCAGCCTCAAGTAACCGCGGCGAGCTGCACTTGAACTCGCCGACCACGGGCGGACCCGGCAGCGCCAGCGGCCCAGGCTGGGCTCGGGGCTGCGGGGGTCTGTGTGCGCGCGCGCGCGCGTGTGTAGGGGAGAGAGGGGGCGTCGCGGGGCCCCGCTGGGGCGCGGGCGGGGGGAGGGGATAGCTGGGCCGCGGCGGCCCGCAGGCCTCCCGCCGCCTGGGCCCAGGCCGGCCCCAAGCCCCGCCTCGCGCGCCCTCCGCGGCCCCTCCCCCCGCGGCCCCGGGCCCGCCGACCCCGCCGCCGCCGGCAGCCCCGCCCCGCGCGCGGCGACTGGCTCACGCGGCCGCCAGCCCGGCTGTGGGCGGTTGGGGCGCAGCCGGCGGAGGCCGCCCCGCCCCCGTCGCGGAGCCGCCGCCGCCGCGCGCAGCCTCCCACCCCTGGGCGCGGGGCGGTGGCGCTGCTGCCGCCGCGGCCGGTGAGGCGCCACTCCCCGCCCCTGCCCCTTCCTCCTCCTCTCTCCGCGCTCCCCGCGGCCTCTCGCTCGAGCGGACGTGGCGCGGCCCGGGCTCCCGCCGCGGCCCCGCGAGCTCCCGAGGCGAGAGGCGCGGCCGCCGTCGGCCCCACGCCCCCGTCTCTCCGCCCCCCGCCCGACGCGCCCGGGGCGGGGAGCCGCTGCCGCCGGGGCCGCAGACGACGGCGGGACCGCGGGGACGGCGGCGGGGAGCGGGCGCGCGCGGCGAGCGGCGCGAGGGCCCGAGGGCCGGCGGGGACGGACGCACGGGCGGGGGGCGCGCGGCGGGCGCGCGGCGAGCAGCCTCGGCGGGCGCGCGGGCCGCGGCGGGGCGCGCTCGGACAATAACCCCGCCGGCCGGCCGCGGGGGCTGCGGCGGGAGGCGGCGGCCTAGCGCGGCCCGGGCGCGCGCCGCCGAGCGACCCCGGGCGGGGGCGTCTGGGCCTCGTCCGGGCCGGCCCGGCCGCCGCCCCCGCGGCCCCCTCCCCCGCGGCGCGCGCGGCGCCGCTTTCCGGGCCCCGGGCCGCGCCGGGTCCTGCCGCCCGCGCCCGGGCAGGAAGTGAGCCGCGTCGCGGATTCCGGGCGGAGTCGCGAGCGAAAAGTTTCCCACCGCCCCCGCCCCGCGCCGCCGCCCGCTCTCGCGCAGAGCCCGCGCTGCGGAGCCGGGAGCTCGCGCCGGACCCGAGGCCCGAAGCCCGGCCGGCGGCCGGCCCCGCGGCGGCGCCCGCGCCCCCCTCCTCCCGCGGGAGCCGCTCCGCGTCCGCCCTCGCGGGGACCGAAGCCCGCGGGGTCCGCGGCCGCGCCGAGGGAAGGCGAGGAAGCGCGTCCGGCCCGCCTCGACCGCGCCGCCCCGAGACGCTGCCCGGCCGAGAGGTACGTTTTTGCTCGCATTTTTTCGGGCGGGCGGGGGGTCGGCAAGTTGCGGAGCTCCTGCACCGGGCCGGGGGACGAGTCTCGAGGGGGCGGCGTGCCAGCCGAGCCAGAGTGCAGTGGGAAGGGAACGGGCTGGCCGGCGGCGGAGCTGCGGGGGGCGTCGGCGAGGGGCGGGTGCGGAGTGCGGGGCGCTCGGGCTCCGGCCGGGAGCTGGCCCGGAGGCGCGGGAGGCCGCGCGCTTTGTTGGGGCCCCGAAACTTTTGTCGCTGTCGCTTCCTGGAACGCGAGCGCCGTGCCCCTGGGCGAAGCTGCTGAACCTGACAGCTCTGGCTTCGCGGGAAGCCGGGTGGCTGCGCGGACGCCCGGCCGAGATGGCTGCCGCAGCTGTTTGTGCTGGGACCGATCTTTTCCGGCTCCGGCACTCTGCCTCGAGTTTTAGTTCCAGCGAGTCTTTTTTTAAAGCCGTTTCGTTGGACTTGATCACCAACAGCAGTAGCGACACAGATCATTGTTTTGCCTTTTGTCCTTTTCACCCCAAGTGGGTCGTGTGGAGCGAGCGCCTGGTGAACTGGCTTCCTGCAGACTTCTAGAGCCTGGCGCTGACGCTTGTTCGGGTGAGTGGTCGCCCGCAGGTAGCTGCGCGTTTTCCTGTCTGTGCCCCAGCGGGACGGGAGGGGAAGGAGAGGGCGTTGAGTGCGGGGGTCGAGAGCGCCGTTGGGAGTGAGGGGCAGGCCTCCGGGAGCTTCGATTGCCAGCCCTTTTCTGCAGGTCTGAACAGAAAGTATGTGCGCCTGAATTGGTGTGTATGTGCGAGTGATTGCGAGAGACAGCTGTGCCTTTCTGGAGCGCGCATGATGTACATTTTGTGTTGACCCGAGTGTTTTTCCCAGAGGAGGGGTGGGCGCTTGACTGTCCGGACCCCGACTTGGTGAAGCATGCGAGACTTTCCTTTCTGACCAGTTAGCGACCCAGTTGAGCCTCGTCTTTCTAGCCCAGATTAGTTTTGGTCTCTGCGAGTTGTTCCTTCGGCGATGTTTCTGGTCTGATTTTAAAGTCAAGTTTCTGCTAAGGGGAAGGAAAGATAATAGTGCACTTTTGAGTAAGTATTAAGTATGCTGTTCTGTTGGCATTGGTAGGAATATGCCAGATACAAATTGATGTTTGGATTGCCCAAATTACTTCACTGCTTGTTATTTGTTGTTTGTAAGTGCATGTCAAAATACGAATCATTTAACTCTTTATTAGTACATATGTTGTTTTGATTCCCCCCTCCCCCGGAGATCCTTTTTCTTTTAATGTTAATTAATATTTGGAACTATCAAGTAATTCCTGTTAAAGTTAAAGTAGCTTTATCAAAGACTTTATAGTGCATAATCTGCTTTATGATTTTGGAGAAGGTATCATTAGGTGGAGGAGGTTATTCTTGGACATATGAAAGAATGGCACAAAATAAATGGCATTGAACTTCAGTTTCCTTAAATGGCTTATACTTGGCCTTGGAACAACAAAGCCTTTCTAGATAGAACAAGTCTTTTTTAGAGAATTACAACTTGTAAAGATGTTTCTCTGTGTTGGTAACATTTACATATAAAAAGTATTGTAGTACTTTATAGTAACTATTTAAATTCCTAGTTGTAGAAGTTGTTCTTTGATTTTCTTGCTTGAGGGAACAGGAGTATGTTTAGATGCAGACAGTACTTTTTTTAAAAAGTGAGATACTCACCTCTGTAGTTGCCTTTGATTCTTTTTATTCTCAACACAGCAAAGCTTACTTTGGTTTATTTAGAATGGTACTGTTTTAACACTGAAATAACTAGTGAACTTTTAGCTTTATATTGTTGTCAAACTTTATAAATATTTTCAAAGCCCTGTCTAAAATATGGCTGGTTTTAAAGTAGTTTTTAAAAAAGATAATCAGTTATATGTTTTTAAATAACTTCAAAATTGGGGTTTTATATCTTGTACATTTCCTTAAACTTGGAAGTAGAGATTCCTCTCAAAATGCTTGTTTATGTCGCATGAAATGTTCATTTAATGACTTTCCTAAAAATACACACGAGTTTTCAATAGCATGACTGTAATGCCTTGGCTAATTAGGTATTAAATTATGCAGTCCTTGATGTTTGAAATCAAACTGTTGCAGTTTTCATGTATGGAACGCTTACAACCTTCAAATACAGAAGTCAGATTTTATTGTATGCTATTACTGGGAGAAATGGCAACTAGAAAGTTAACTTACATCATTGGTGAAGTTCTAAAATCTTGTTCTTTTGGCGATAGTGATATTGAATTGTTGGTAGTAATCATACCTTACTTTAGGAAACACTTTAACATTTCAGAAAAGTAACTATTGATAGCATAATTTAGAATATAAGCTGTTTGGGGTTTAGAAATAGATTATAAGTGATTACAGAGTATTTTTGATAATGAAAATTGTAGTGATGGATAGCAGTTTTTTTTTCCTAATTATTACTTAATCCAGATTTTCTTTAAACATATTTTGTTGGTTACATTTTCATTTGACTGCCTTGCTGATCCTCTTCTTTGTACATGCCCCTTTCCTCCATTGGAAACACACCTGGTTTATAAGCTAAAGAGGTCTTTCTCTCTTTTTGTTTTGACGAAATACTTTGTTTCTGTTTTTAACTGTCTACAGTATACTTTCCTGTTTTAATTGTTTTGTCATTAAAGATATGTGTGTGACTTATGTCTTATGTCTTCATTTGACTTTTCTAAGGAGATAAATTAACTTCTGTTTTCCATTTTTCCTTGATTTATTACACATTACTACTATTGTTATTTTTCTGGGTGCCTATCTTTGATCTGTATTGTACCCACATTTCTTATTTTCCTTTAAGCTTTCTCCTGTCCTACGTTTCTTTAAGAATGAAATGTAGCTAATATTCAGTTTTCCTGTATAATTCCTTTAGCTTATTTTTATTCATTTACTTTACTGATTTTCTGTATGTTTAACTGTTGTTCTTCATTATATTTTGCCCTTTGCCTCTTTTATTAGCCCATGGTTTTCACTTGAAAAACTGTCCAAAACATGAGTAGGAAAACTATTTGATCAACCCTATTTAGTTTTGAATATCCACCCCCACCCCACTTTTTAGAATTTGGGCAGTGCTCAAGAATTACTCCTGGTGGTGCTCCATATGGGACCATATGGGATGCTGGGGATCAAACCTAGGTTGACTGTGTGCGAGGCAATGGCCCTACCCACTGTACTATCTCTCCAACCGTTTTGAATTTTTTTTATTCCAGCTCAATTTATATATCAGTATCTTAATCTTGCATTTTTCTTTCATTGATGTTACTTGTTAACATTTATATTTGTTTCCTCAGTTATTTTGAAAATTGTTCTAAAACTGGGCTGAAGAGATAGGTCACCAGGTAGGGTGCTTTGCCTTGCATGTGCCAACCCAGGTTTACTACCCAGTATCTCATGATCCCCTGAGCTCTGCCAGGAGTAATTGCTGGGCATCCCCAGGTGTGACCACCCTCCTTCCCCTTCCAAAAAAAAAACAATTATTCCGGAGCTCTAGCTATTTTAAAATAGATCAGATTGTTAATATTATGCTTCTCTTCAATCCCCTACCTTCTTGTTTTATTATGCTTTTGACTTTTTAAAATTGGAATATTGCCCCTGCATCTTTCATCTGGTTTTTGTTGTTGTTGTTCCTTTTCTTTCTGTCCTACCCCTCAAGTTAGATGTTTGCTCCATCAGTGTTCCTAAAATTTGGAATTACCACCTTTTGTGTTATATTACCCTTCCTTTCCTTTCCCTCTGTTGATGTTTTCACGATGGAGTGTTTTGGGTGTGTAACACACACATGCTTGGTTGTGGTCACCAGCGATTGCACTCTTTACCAGTGTATGCCCTGGGTCACACTGCTTTAGTTGTGGTGCTCATGTACACACTCTGGGTTTGTACTCCTGATAACAGTGTTAGCAGATCATTTTACTTGCCATGCTCCCCAGGAGTTGAACCCTTTTAGTTGTAGTGCTTGCACGCAATGTCTGTGGTGCAGCTGAAAACTGCTCGCCGCATCTCTGATCTCAGATAGCAGAGCTCCTGTGCAGAAACAGGGCTACTAGGATTGATTTTGGTGCATGTGGCAGTGTGCTCATACTGTGAACTCACAGCCTCATACTAGCAAGGCAGCTTCAGTCACTGAGCCATCCCTTGTCCCTCACAGACTTTATTAAAGAATTCAACCTAACTATCACTTCAGTTTTATTTCTTTTGCTTTGGAACCATGCCTGATACTGGAGTACTGGTGTTTGCTTCTGACTCTGTGCTCTGTGGTTGCTCCAGTTGGTGCATGGGGACTAAGTTGTGCCAGGCACCAAACCTCAGGCACTGGCATGCAAAGCAGGCACTCCAGTCCTCTGAGCTATCTCCCTATTCCTGTCACTTTAAATGTTGTTGTACCATGTCTTATTTCGTGAAGGTCTTGAAAGTTTTATAAGTGATAGTATGTAGGACAGTAGATAACAATATATAAAATTAAGTTAATAAAAGATGACTTAGGTTAATCAGTGTAGGTTATTTATAACTTCATGTATATAAACTGTAGCAGAAAACCTAGAAAATATTAAAAAGGTTTAAGTGATCTAGCAGGTATAATGGGCTGGAGCGATAGCACAGCGGGTAGGGCGTTTGCCTTGCATGCTGCCAACATGGCCGACCCGAGTTCGATTCCTCCGCCCGGCAAGCTACCGAGAGTATCTCGCCCACACGGCAGAGCCTGGCAAGCTACCCATGACGTATTCGATATGCCAGACACAGTAACAATTGTCACAGTGGAGACGTTACTGGGCCCTCTCAAGCAAATCGATGAACAACGGGAGACCAGTGACAGCAGGTATAATAAAATCAGGGGGCTTCCTTCACAAGGACATCCTATTCAGAGCCCACTTTTTGCATACTGTGATTTATTTTCTGACTTTTTGATGTGTTAGATGGAATGAGAAGGGGATGAAATGAGACCTTG